AAAAAAAAAAAAAAACTATTAATCAGTCGTATAAATTAAATAATATTTCCATTGATACATATGAATAATGAGTAAATATAATAATAAGATTCGTCGTTATTAGATAAGTAATATGCTTACATTTTATGTATTTATTATTTAACAGAAGCGGCATTGAACTTGTTTATCAACTCGAACTCACAAGAACTACTCAAGGAAATGAAGCCACACATTAAAAAGAARCTCATGGTTGCCATGAAGTCGTTCATCGATAACTTATTTAGCAGAGTCCCTTATGACAACTGGGTCATCCAATGAAGACCCGGACCAGCATCAAAATGGCGTCCGGCTAATTGTTACTTCATGATAATGTCGTTTCCGAGGCGAAAACGTATCTCTTTGCACAATACATTGTAACGCTCAATAGTAATATGTCGAGTGCAATATAATTTATAATTTATCATCCCATAATATATTTTTGTATAATATTAATTTAAATATGTATGACATATAAATTGTGTGTAAAAAACACATAAAAAAAAATATAACAAATGCTTGATCTCGTCTTCACATTTATATTTTGTATTACAACAAAGCGTATACCTATGCGCGTTTTACGCGTTRAATATCAAGCATTTATTTCAAACACATTGTGATCCGCTTTTTTATTTTTGTAAACATTGAATCTTGTACACTTTAATACAGACTTAGATTGTATGCTTAGGAATAATATTATCACCCGAGTTCTTAATTATATAATTTAAATATCCGTTAAAATTAATTACGAGCAATTGTTAATTTTTTTTCAATAATTGTTTTTATTTATTGTATGTTCCTTTTCTTATTATGGCCAAATGAAATAAAATCATTTACAAACATTTATAAATACCTTTTTATTACATTTTATGTAAATAAAACTTGGTTTATGTAGAATTGTATTTGCTTGCCTACGATAGACTCAATTGCTATGTACAATAATGTATTATGAAGGCAGATATTATAGGTAGTACTCGTACCTAATAGCAGTAATGTTATAAAAATAAAATACAAAATTATTWTAAAAGTGAGTAGCATATTGAGTTTTTAGGACATATTAACTAATTAATTTTTAGTTAAGTATTGTAGTATTGTTTTTTTTTTACACTACTATAAATATTCACCACATTGGTTCGGCGTTATACCTACACTTTTCTGCATTTTTAGATTATATCATGCGTTTAGACTTGCGACGGATTTATTTTTTGTCAGTAACTCCATTTGAAATGATAAATTAATWCTAAACACTCTAAACTATTATAAATTAAAATTGAATAGGTACTATTATCAGTATTATCAATACTTCCTAGTTCCTACACATAATTTGGCTAGTGACTACCTGTAGTTGCTTACATTATAGCATTATACACGTAAATACTATTTCCTATTCATCTATATAATTTACTATTTTTTTTTTTCATTTTWACATCTCTTTTTACATTAATTCATTGATTGTATAATTTATCGATATAATATTGTCCATATAATTGACATTAGCACATATTTTTAATATTCTCTATGTTCACCMWGGCATGTTTCTAATCAAGATTTTTTAAATGGGGTGTTTTAATTCAATAGTCAAATATATTTTGTAGAGGGAGTGTACAAACCAAATCTATTTAAATTTGTACCTTATTAGTTTAATTCCATACTATTTTCAAAAAATGTTCTAATATATAATTAKAAAATGTAGGTTAACGGTAATTGATTATACTTCTTAAACAAGGGCGGACTGGTCCAGTTTGCTATACACCAAGTAACACCCCGGGCCCCCATTCGTATTTATAATCTGGGCTCCTGATTACCACTGTCAGGCCCTTTTTAATTTAACTCTTATTGTAATGTAGAATAGAAAGATAAATTATATTATAAATTGATAATACTGTTACCTATTATTATATTTATAATATAAAATTGTATCACTCCTAATTTTAGTAGGTTTGAAAAAAATGTACGGGTCCTTAATTAATTTTGCACCCCGGGCTATAAATAGACAGTCCACCCTTGTTCTTAAAGTAGATAGTTAAATATTAATTTTAATACTTTTATTTACATTTTCTGTATTAACTTGGTTATAAAAAAAAAAAGAAATTGATCATGTTTCACGAAATGTTAATTATTTCTATTTTTAAACTATATGTACATTTAGAAACTATTTTTAATTTAATTAAATTTTAATTACGTAAATAGTTTGTACAAAACAATTTTTCTAAATAGAATAAATAACAAAAAAATACATTAAAAATATCATGCTTAATGCTTGTGTATTTATTTACTATACATAATTTTCTGTTTTTATTCTTTGAAAACTAGAAAACTAACCATTTTAATATTTTACAATACTGGATATTTATTTATGTTGATTAAAAAAAAAATATTGTCATCACATTAATTTATTTTCCTCGAAAATTACTGATAATATTATATAACAAGATGTTAAGATCGTAGGCGTAGTGCTCATAACTTTTTGACTAGTTGGGTCAAACCAATTATGATTAAGATGCTTAGAGGTATTTTATCATTTTAATTTTTCAATGTACCTACTTAATTAATTATTATCTATGAACATCATAATTTGTAATTTTATTATTAAAGTTTCATGATAAAAATGTATCAGGTTGTAATATATGTAACAAGTACAGTAGGGCTCGCAGGGTGGGCTATGGCTCAGATTATAATTTTTAATTTTTTATAATTTGCTTGATATTTTATTAATAAAAACAGTTCGTATGAAAATGAACATTAGTTCATAAAAGTGAACATTATTCAATCGCTTTTTGACAATTATTCTTTATAGACAATTTAAAAAAAAATTTACTACAACGAACTGTCAGCACCTAAATATGTTCAATAATTGCCTTAAATTTTAAGAATGAAAAATCATTGGATTTGTTAATTGTTAGAAATTCGTTTTTCCATTATTTTCTAATCATCTATGCAATAATATTATTTTATGTTCTAAAAACGATAAACCATAATCAACAACGTCAAGGTTTTCATAGTGTAATCTTTTCAATACAACTCTGAATTACAGTTTCTTAAATTATCTACAAAGATAAATAAACGAGCAGGAATTGTAGATTTTAAAGTGAAATGTATCTTCTTATGTGGTGTTAAAATATTATAATATGTTATACAGGGTGGGGCAGCAAAAAGGGCATTTTCATTTCTAAATATATCACCATTTTTGCTGCTCCACCCTGAATAATAAAAATTAATTAAATGTTTTGGGACTGTCTATAAATGTTTACACTGTAGAGACGTAAAGTACTACGGTGCAGTAAAAACTATTAGACAACTAGCTAGATTCAAATATGCAATCACCCACGGTTTTATATATTCTACCATTTCTACCTAATTTAGTAGTTGTATTGTTTTTTATGATCCACTAAATATTGTTTTCTTATATCTGTCACAATGTCACAACATAAAATATTAGTATTACACACTTCACCAATCACCATACAAATAAATATGGAAAACCTATATTCAAAACTTTAAATGGTATTAAATGAAAATATTAAACCTCAATTATGAACTAGTATACCTAGGCGTTACTCATATTGTGTTGAAACACGATTGTAAGTAGGTGTTGGTCATCTAAAAATAAAACATGTTTTTATGGCATATCATTATAATTTTTTAATAATAAGGTAGTTATATATATAATATGTAATAAACGTGTGTAATACTATGAACAGTAAAAATTACTTAAGTAAAATTTTACATGACTCGGATACTTACTGACGTAGTGACGTTTTAACACTTAATTTATAACTATCAAAAAAAAAAATGTATAGACTAACGATACAGTTTGATATCAATCAATCAAATTTGTATAGTAGTGAAAATCAAAATTACACGCACGCCCCAAAATCTTAGTATCAAGATAATATATTAGAATAATTACAATTCATTACAATTGTCAAAATAATACAAATGAACTATTTTGATTTAAAAAATAATCGATAAATAGATACATTAAATTAATGGTTGTTAGTGTTGTTCTCGATAACTATAACAATATAACAATTATCCGTAAATCGTAATATATTATTGTAATATAGTACCTATATCCATGTCTGATTTTTGTAAGTTAATTTTTAATACCTGTACAATTATGGTGCACGATTAATAATAATCATGTATGATTAATTATATTTATAAATAAACAAGGTAGGTATTAATTCATATTATGCGGAAGCAATAATTTAAATTATAAACCGTTGTCAATAGTCTCACTAAATTTATCGATGTGTCAACATTGTATAATTGATGAATTGATTTATTTTGTTTATCATCACTTAGCAGATTACAATTAAATGGTCTAAACTAAAGTCAAGTCAAGCTAAAATACAATAATTTAATGTTTACAGAATACTACTTTAATAATTTTATAATTAAAGTTAGTTGATTGTATGTTGTCTCATAAACAAACGTTAACTAAATGTATATTATATAATTATATAAAACATATGTATTATATTATAATGATACAAAAAAAACCTGAAGGTCATTATTAATAGTGCGTGATTTGTAGATTAATTTAAATTTCTTTTAATGATGTCGTGTACCTACAGTGTTTTTTTTTCTGAATTTTAAGTAAGGAATGTAAAAATGGTTGCTCATCGATACCTATCTTTATCTAAATTATAGTAATTTGGCTTCAAGTGACTAAATTATCTTCTAACAATTATAATGTTGAACCAAAATACTGTGATTTTTGTATTTATGTAGGTTCTATTTTTTACTGATTTGTATTTAATTTTGATAGGATTACGATAAGATGATTTTGTCACGTAACATAATCATAATCAACATTATTGCAGACATAATTGTATTTGTGTAACACTGATATAGTGATGTCTTCTTACTTATTCGTATTAATTGTGAGGTATTTAGGTATCGAAGCTAAGATATATTTTATTTTTTATAAGATTTGCTGTAATCGATATAAATTTAAAAAGATTTTTCTGTTTGAATAATTTTAGAAGTTTACTTTTTAAACCTTAGAGTAAATTATTAAAAATATGAACAATAAAAATAATATTTTTGCATGAACATCATTTTCTAACATTTTTAGCTATTTATTTTATTTTATTTTTTCAGTTGTATTTACACTGTAAAATTGAATCATACATACATTAATAAGCTCATATAGGAACTATCATCATGGAATAAATTGATCATCAAATGGTCTAGTGGGTTGTCAGTAACTCATGTAGTAACTAGTAATTAACTAATTCACATTCATAATTTAAATGTAATATTGAATAATAATTGCAATAGCTTATAATTTAATACATGATACCTATATTAGCAAGTTTAGTGGAATTATTAGGTACAGTTAAAAACAAAATATTGTGCTAATATTATGCACTGTAGAGAGTGTCTTATAAGACTATATAGTCATCATAAGATCATGATATTTCCTCGTTCACACAGATACCTTAAAATAATATACTTAATAATATTTTTTTATTATTATTATCGGTTAAACATCAACTACATAGGTAATTAGCTTTAATAAAAGTATTATATTTTTACATTATTATATTATGTTATTGTACAATTCAAATTTTTTTTCAATTATGTATAGATAGTTAGAAAATGGACCAATTGCTTCGTATAGGTTGTCAGGAATATTGAAGTCTTTCCTAGCTTCATTGAAGTTTGGGCAGTGGACGATGATGTGTTTGATGAAGTAGTTTTCATTGCATTTTGGACATAGGGGTGGATATGTCTTTGGTATAAGTTGTTCATGACTTCATGTGTGCATTTTGTGTGGCTTATTCTAAGTCGATTAAGAATTACCTCATTTTTCTGTTTATGTCACTGTATTATTAATAATATTAAAACTACTTATAAACCAGATTCTTGTTTAATCCTTAATACTTACTCCATAATTATTCGAATGCTTAAAAAAAATTATAAATTAATTTTAAAATATTCACGTAACTTAGCTTTAAATAAAATACCATATTATTATTGATTTTCAAAAGACACGAAAAATGAAATCACTAAAAAAAAAATGAATGTTATCCGCTATGAATAAAATGTATATAATATTTAATTATTTCACAATTATTATAAATTTACAACGTAAGTTATTATTCGTATAAATTCGGTATTACAAATAAGTTAAATATCTAAAGATAATATTGTAAATTCAATATTAATAATTCACAAATCATGTATGCGTGAATTTTTCCTATCCCAAGGTCACGTACGTTAATTAAGTGGATGCTTCAACCGTATGTGTTGTCTCTGTCTTAATGACGCATAAAATGGAAGATTTTACGTTTAGAAGAATCCGTTTTACTTTGTTATTTTTATTGTTAAAAGAAATTTACCTATTATTAACTCAAATGTATCCAAGTCACCTAGACCAGTATTTTTTGATATTTTAATTTTAAAATAAGTTATGAGAATTTTAAAAATTTCGAAAAATGACAATCAAGTTGCCAAAAATTTTGTACACATGGTTATTAGAATGAATAATGAATTGGGTGATATTATTGGAAAATGTAAATTTTTTGCATTTGTTCTTTTCATCAATGAAAAATACAAACTGCTCCTGAATGCTGAAATATATATAATTGGATTAGTTCGCTGTTTTAAAAATAAAAATAATAAAACCCAACGTACTCATGTACAATTTTATATAATATACCAATTAACGGGCAAATCAAACCAATTTGAGTAGTAATTAAAAATATTCATCTGTCCAGTGTTTAATGATGTGATTAAAAAGATTAGAATATTTTATCGTTTGAACTTAAAAAAGCGATCRCAATAAAATAAGTACTAAACTGCGCCACTATACATTTGTCCTTAGTGGATTTTGTAGAACTACGAAAAACCTTTATAAGCCGAGAACAACTTCACAGTTTTTAAAATGTCCCAGATACGAACCTACTTGAATGTACGGATTTGCATTATTCTGCGCCTTTGTGTCCACAAAATTACCTTGAAAAATAAAATTATTTCTTCAAATAAGCGATGAAGATGTTCTCTGAATGATAAAAGAAACAATTAGAATAGTAAAAAAAAAACACATTTCGAAATATTATAATTTCTTATATTTTGCTTATAGCTATGACGCCATGCATATATATATATATATAATTATCAATAGTAAGCGCAAATGGTGATAAATAAAAGTTTATAAGAATAGCTAATAGGTATACCTACCTTCTAAAATTAACGGTCTGACATGTATTTAATTTAGTAAACTAGTAAACTATTTAGTATTTAGTAAACTAAAATTGGCCTAATAGTTAATTTATAAAAAAAAAAAAAAATAGTTTTAATAAAATATTAAAATACATATTATAATATTATCACCTAAAAATAAAATTGTGTGCTTATCAATCTAATTAATTTTATATAACTGCATCTAATCATAGGTTTACCGTTGTATTCAAAATATTTCAATTTTAACCTGTTAAATGTAATCACACAATACAACATATATCACTGTTCTCTGTTGCACTATATTTATATTTCATTTTGGATTGACAAAGCTGACTAGGAAGTTAGTGCTTGTCACTACTAGTTTCTTTTAAACTTACAACTTGTATGATTCTTATAGAGTTATATAATGTTTAAACGTTATTTATTCGTTTGATATGTTTATAATGTAACTTTTTATTAACCTTGAAATTGATTTTTTTATTTCCTTGAATTATATTTTTTAAAGTCATCGTGAGAACTGATTCGATTAAATAACCATAATTAATAAAGACTAATCAATGTATAATTCTTAGGTACAAAAAATTTAAGAAAATCGCAATTAAAACTGTCCTTAACCATCAAACTTTTAATCTATATAAAAGCAATGGTTCAATTATATTTATCGGTTAGTATGAAAAAACATAAAGTCGTCTGAATCTCATTTACATATTATTAATCGAATTATTTGAAGTTACTGTTTGACCGGTATAGTATTTGAACGGTAGAAATGGCAAATTCTCTGTATGCATCTATTATTGTTATCGTTTTTTGTGTGAATAATAGTTTTTCAATATTGAAGCCTATACGTAAGTTTTAAATTCGAGTAAAATAAATCGAAAATAATTTTAATAAATACAAGAATTAATTTGTCTTGTGCAATAAAGAATGGCGATTTAATTGTACCTATTTCGTGTTGATGGACCCAACCTAGAAAAGCCTTAAACAGTTCAACTATTTTTTATTTTAATGACTTTTTTTATACCTATTTAATGCATGGTTTAGATTATCTCATGTTGCCTAACTGCCAATTTTGGCTATTTAAATAATATATTACACGTTGTAAAACATTGTCAACTCTATAATATTTTGTTTATGCGGTGTATTTTTTTTAGTTATATTGTAAAAAATTAATCGTTTAATAACATATGTAGGAAATTTAGTCTTAGTAAAACTGACAATATAAAAAATTGTAACCGATTTTTGGAAATTTTATTTCATTAGACACGTATACTATTTTAGTGTGCTGAATATTTTTGGTAACCTCTAGCCTTTAGGAATATAATATTTTTCTAACTAGTCATTTGAACACTTCTTATAGCAAATGTTGAAGCTTTTGAAATTATACAAATCAGCTTATTTTATAATTACGTTCTATCATCCATGTCTATATACGTAATTTATGTGTCTTTTCTTTAATAATATCAATACCTAATTTTAACATAAACCATAATAAATACTTAAATAATAAATCTATTGATATTACTATAGGAATAAGATATTTAGTTTTTTTTACATTTTATTATTTATAAATTAGTAAAAGCTTGTAAATTTGTTTACCTTACAAATTTCAGTAATACTTTTACCGATGACGTTTATTGTGTAAAATGTATTGTATGTATAAAAACGACAAATTATTAAATGTTGTCCAAATAAAACAAATTACTCGATTTTAGCTGATTATTTACATATTTGCCACCGCTCAAATCCAGACATTCCAAAATGTATTATAGAATCAGCATATTTTTTAAGAAGCAAAMTTGCAGAAGGTAAATAATACAATAATTTTTTTCTTTGCATAGTTTTACACAGATTATTGCATTAAACTGTACTTACCGTAAGCTTTGTTGAAAAAATCATTTAAAATTTCATAAAACATTTATATTTAAGGAATTCCCGAATTCGATGTCGCCCCTATGGACCCAATGTTAATAAACGCTCTTATTCCAACTAATGGGAACGGGCTGAAAATAGAGACCAACAATTTGTTAGTCACCGGAACCAAAAATTTTACAATTAATCATCTTATGTAAGCATACAGTAAAACAATTATATCACACATACTTTTACCCTTGTCTATTGCATTTATGATAATATAAAAAAATTTTAATATCGGGCAATTGAATTAAGAGCTGACATAGRCAAACAAAAGTATAAGTTCCAAGTGAGATTCCCTCACATGCACGTACTCGGTAATTACAGCATCGACGGAAAAATAGCGAGAATGGTCATCAAAGGTCAAGGAGATTTCGATTTGGACATATGTAAGTTCCGGTACTTTTATAGTTTTATAATGTATAGTTAATTTGTGCCAATGTTTTTTCATGCTTGGAAGTTCATTTTTTAATGTAATGATTGCATTTTTTGGAGCTTTTCTTCTTAAAAAAAACTAAAATGATTTGGATTTAAGATGGAGTGAAATGCAACGTATCACTACTGGGAAACGTCATCAATATCAACGGTTTGAATTTCATACGTTTCCATCATATATCACTTAGAATCGCAATAAGCAGAGGAAATATAGAACTAAGAAATTTATTTGGTGGTGATAAAAACTTAGGTAAGTTGTTATTGAATCGATTATAAAATAATCTGTAATTTGCACAACCCACAGAATGTGCAAAAAAAATTATTAAATGCGGATTAAATCGTTTTAAATATTTTATTAAATGTTTAAGATAATTGTTATCCATACAACTTAAGCTTAACTCACATAAAATAATATTTTAAACTTATATTAACATAATGGTATAAAAAAACCCCCATCATTATAAAAACTTAAAAAATATAAGGGTACATGATATAAAAAGATATTCAATACCAATTAATATTGAATTAAATCTTACCTAATTTAACCTACCTTGCCTAATTTAACCTAACCAAAAATGAAGTACCTATCTTAAATCCTATTTATAATTAATCTTTAGCATTGATTTTCTTTTAGGTGAAGTACTCAATTTGGCTATAAATGCAAATTTCATTATGTTTTTCATGGAGCTCAGGCCGATCATTCAAAAGGTGCTCGAAGAGTTCGTGTTAGACACTGTGGAAAAACTTACACAACATTTTACCTACGAACAACTGTTTCCAGATTAACAATATAAAATCAACAATATTTCGTTTTTTATAAGTCTGAATACTAATGTCGTAAAATATTTTTAGAGGGCTAGTAAATTTTCCATTTTTAATATGATCACAGAAAATGGTAACAATATATGATATATATTATTTATAAAAAAAAGATACATTTATACGAATATGTTCGTTAAAATTTTCTACTTAAGCTATTAAATACACAGAACAGAAATAAACCAAGAATAATTACATCGAAGGTAAACCATTAGATATAGTATAAAACTGGACACTACTCTGGCACGAAAATTTCCTCAAGTGGTAAACCGGTCAAAATCTGATTTATCATAGAGAGCACCATTTTTCCGGCTAGTTCTTCAATCATCGGCATCGTTAGTTTTCTTAACTCGGCTTTTTGGCCCTTGATCATATCGTTCAATGCTCTGTCTAAACATTAAAACATCATTCGCAAACGTTAGAATGTTATAATAAATAATGTTTTCATTAAAAATAAAACAAACAATAACAAGATAATTATAAGATAATTATTCATATTATGATAATATAAAAAAAAATAATAATAATTATACTATACTGCATTCACTATTTCACTTACTCAGGTTTTGATCTTTCTTAAACAAATTTTCAATCATTATTGAGTAGTCTTTGAAGTTAACTTTGATATCAATATTATCAAACAGTAAAAGAGACTCGTTCTTCCTCTTTATTGTCTTCCCGCTCAATGTAGCTTTGACTGTAATGTCAGCTAGAATATTATTATCAGATCGAGTTATATTAAAAATAATCATTAACCGTATAATAACATCAAATTATATTATTATATACTATATAGTATATAATATACATATATATATATATATTTTATATACTATATAGTATATAATATATATATATAGTTCTGACTGCTGAGTCACAATATATAATACCGTACACACAATAAAAACATTGGTGTTATCTCAATAAGTCATATTTTACTATTTTCATTACTGGACGATTACAAGTTAAGTTTTAACTAATTTAGGTAGATAGGTGCTTTATTGGAAAAGTTGGGTGTTTAATTTCTGCATTATAATTTTGGAAAATAACTAAGTTGCAATCTTACGAGATTTTCATCACATATCTGGTCTATTTTTTGCTGGAATTTTAATTATGACGTGATTAGCAAAAAAAAAAAATTAATCCATTAGTTGATTAAAATGTTTTTAATGCGTAAATTAAGATTTAATTACMGTTTGGAATTATTGCATTTCCTTGTTAACTTTACTATTGTTGAATTAATTCAAGGTTTGATATGGGTTCAAGGTTAGACATTGTAAATTACTTTGCACAAGTGGTTGATTACATATTTTATAATTTTTACTGGAGTCATTAAAAAATTAATCTTGTAAATGATATAAATGATAATTTTATTTTATACGATATTTTTTAAGATTTAAAAATGGAAAAAATAAGTCTATAATTCTACTCAATTTTTTTTTTAAATATTAATTGAATTGGGAATTTCGAAAAGGGCTCATACCTGAAAATTAAAATTTTTTAGGGAACTCAAAAAAACTGATTGTCTTTTTAATTTTGTTTTTATTGAACCRTTTTTTTTTCCTAAAATTACAGACAATTATTTAATGTTAAGCTCTTGTAATATATTATTCTTGAAGTGAAATTTTATCGGAAAAGCGATTCATTAAGTTTTCTGAAATCTATTTTGGTAAAAATTCGAGATGGGCCCTTTTTGAAATTCCCAATTCAATTAATAATAATATACTGCAGAATACCCATATTATATAGTTAAATATTAGAAGAAAATAGAAACTACAAATATCACTATTTTGTACAATTTTATATAGTCTTATGTAAGTATTTATATATTTATAGTGGCTTGGTGCGAGGCGCGGTCGTACGCTCCATCTGCGAAACCACATTGAGCGTACGTACCGGCCACAGTTGCTAGCTCCCGGATTACTTTAGCAATATATCCTTGCCACACATACACAAACACGTGTTACAATCCTACCCACTTAAAAACCTACAAACAGATACACAAAAATAACCCCTACCGTACTACCCCACACTCAATGGCCTATGTGGCCGCGGGTTCCCCTTACAAAAAATAAATATTTACTATAATTTGAAACTATAAAAAAACATAATTATTTTGTTTACTTATTATTTATTATTATATTAAGTATGCGAGCTATGTTGCTCACAAAGAATAATTATTAAAAATAATATATACATATAAGTATTTAATTGAAAAAAAATATTGATATAACAATATACTCGTATATGTATATATATATATATATATATATATATATTATATTCAATGTGTGGGAAAAAGTATTTATGAACTGATTGAATAATTTATTGAAATTAATAGTGAGATTTATTCTAACCACTATGGTAAATAGTGTTGAAGATTTGTTTAATTATGAGTAATGGTATTGAATTGTGCAAGATATATATATATTAAGAATTTTTTTTTATTTAGTTATTTCACGAATAGTGAAATACCTGTTCATTCAAGAAATATTTATACAGTACTTATCTATAATAGCCAATAGGTAGATGCAAAATCAAATAATTCAAGAAAAACTTTAATAAACACAACAGTCACAGCACTGTACGATGTATATAATATTCCTAACAAGCACTTATCTAGAGTTTGATTTATGAGAGCTTGTAAACAATAATGAATATATACCTATATATCAAAATTAGCAAAATATTGAAAACACGTAAGAAAAAAATTGTGTGTTAAAAAATTATACTCATCACTGAATTTTTATAAAAAGAGTACAATGGATATACGTGAAGGTATCGTAAAAAAGTTCTGTGTACAATTTTTGAAAATGTTAATTTCGTATAATATCGAATTGTCAAGAAAAAATTAAAACTCAAAACAGTATATCAAATCATTTTTGTCATTTGCTGCACCATTTTAGAGTTCGGTGGTTAAAAATATAAAAATAGCATAAACATAATTTTTGTCTCAAAGTGATTAATTGATCATAAATTAATATTCGTTTCTTAACATTTAAACTATATTTTAAATTTTTGTATTTAAAATACAGTTTAGAAAATTATATTTTTTTAATGTATATCAACTTACACACAATCAATTTATTTAATGCTAAAATAATAAATTCTGTTAACCTTTTTAAATTTATAAAAATTTTATTTTAAACTCAATTAGTATAGATTTAGAGTAAATGAAATTTATTCTACAATATTCCTTCAGTAATTTTAACTATGGTTTAATTAAAATATTTAAAGAAAAAACTATAATTTTTAAAACCTAATTTTTCTTATTGAAAATTGAAAACGAACAAATAAATAACATCACTATAGTGAACCCTAAAATGATGTGAAACAAAAATGTTTACTATGTTATATTATTACCTATATATATTGAAATGTATTGTTATAAAATTTGGTAGTTAACTACCGGATAGTAATGTGAACTATAGATGCTTGGTCTATTTGTATCAGGTAAATTTTTGGAAATAGTAGTTTTATGTGAATAAGTGTTCTATTATTATCATGCATAGATACTAGGTAATATTAATAATAATGATAATAATAAATGTAATACTGATGCATGAAAAACAATATTTTTTAAATTTGCAAACATATTTTGTAGTCCTCTCCGTTAACCCCATCAAAATAAATTATATAGAACAGTTATTTATAAACTATTATTGTTTGGGATTTCGAATCATCCGTGAATATTAAATATGTTTTACAATTATTATACTCACTGGCATTTATGTATACAGGTCCTGTGCTTTTGATTGGCATATTAAACATAATTAAATTTACGTCATATTCTCCTTCTATTTGAAGTTTTGGGAAAGAGAGGTCTATGAAAAATTCGTTCTTTTTAATATCCACCCTAGAAATGATTAAATAAAATATAATACAATAATATATAATTATAATTAATATTATGATATTAAAATAAACAAATGATATTGGTTAGTGCTTATGTTTTATGTTATAATGCTGGTAAAGGCATGTTTTACTTACTTAAGATCGTGAATATCAAATTCAGATGAATGATGAACAACTAAATTACGTGCAAATGCCTTAGTTTTGTTGGAACCTCGAACGTTGCCACCGAAAAGTGAAGTACTTAGGCCTTGGAATATTTTTAAATCAATTTCTTGAATGATAAATGGTTCCAACGCCGGTATGTTAAGCTCAGGTATACCTATTTACGAACAATGTAATATTATGAATTATGATTAAAGAAGGACGAATCGAAAGAAAAAAATGTATGATCAATACAGTTTAACTGCAGATACCAATAATAGTGCTTATACAAATAATTCAAATTAAACAATCATTACACTATTACAATAATAAAATCATTGCTTACACGTATGGTTTGTATTGTTATGCTAATTTTAAAAACGGTATGATAAACGTATTATGATTTATGATATTTCCTATGTTCAAATAAAGTATTTAGACCTATGATATCTTACACTGTTAAAATAAAATAAAATAACTGCATTGGTATTTCAAATTATAATATAATATTACCTGATTTAGAATGCTTTAAAATATCTTTCATTAAGTTTGTCAAACATTGGCTTAATTTTGGGTCTGAAAGCTTGCATAGCGTCGTGTACTTAGCTGAAATCATAAATTACATAACAGGATATTAAAATATATTTAAAGTCCATCGATTCAATATACTTTACTTATGTGATATACTGATATGACATATATTATATATGACTTGAAAAATTAATACAAAGTATCAAATATAGTTTCTATTCAGCGATTAAGAGGGAGGGGGCAGATAATTATGTTTACTGAAGGTATTTCTATCATAATCTTGTGGAAATTTAGAATGAAAACAATTTCGATATTCCATTTTTTTTTTTCTAAAAGACAAGTAAAATATTATTAAAACGCATTTTATAATAGGCATTTTTATTGAACTGGTAGATTTCCATTCTCGGGCCCTCGGGGGTTAAAAATATGATGATAGAAAAAATACAGAAAACAATTTAATATCACGCTATTATATTACTATATCATTGTTATATAGTCACATTGATAACCAAATACTTCACATAGATCCTCCAGGCAATAGCACTTCGGACAACGATAATACGGACAATACTGCGGTGTAGGAATTATAATATAATATTTTATTGCTTAATATTTATTGTAAATGTACTTGTAATAGCACCTAATGTGCTGAAAAATTAGAAAAAAAATTATTATTTAATATCCGCGTCGGAGGTGCCATCGGTTCCACAAACCATTTCTACGAAAGAGCCAGAGCTAGGCACTAGCAAGGCGGCATTTGCCAGGGGCGCAATTATTCGAAAGGCGTTGCAATTTCATCGATTGGCACTCTCAATTCAAATATGATAATTTACAAAAATCAAAATAATCTGTCGTTTATATCTATCGTAATTGGATGAGCGGGTGCAAATTTGGTCTTCTACCAGGAGCGCTCTACTCATTCTTGCTACAGACCTGGTCTTAAATTCCACTGGACTACACGCGTTTACCGCTAAATGATTGTCCGACGGTTCGAAATCGCCGATCGTCGTAAAAGAAGGACCTCCAAAATAGCACTTACCCAATCTGCTGGTTTTCGCGGACTTTGCCGCTGCCGTGCAGACGACCGTCGCCAGGACCACGGCCGTCAACACAAACTTCATCGTCTTGGAACTTACGTGCATGACGTTGACGATTTATTATAATGTACTGAATCACGTGTACTATATTGTGTACGAAAATACAGCAATCGACACGGCGATTAGTGCTCAACGGAAGCGWAAACGATCGGATGGAGAGACCCGCGCCAAAAACTTACTATCCCGGAAATGTCGGGAAAACAAGACTATGATCTGCGACGGGGGTGGATCGTTAACGGTCCTGCAGTGGAGACCGGAAGTCGAAGCCGAATGTGTATACGGTGCGCGCGTCCGGGCAGCTTATAATAGTGTATCGTCTAATATAATATCTAACGTTTAATTGTGATATTATATTATTACGATCTATACAGACCACCACGAGCAAACAACGACACTGCGGCAGCAACGGCTTTCGACGTCGGAGTGTTCGGCTGCCACCCGGTGACCGGCCATTTCAAGTGCAGAATCAGCGGCGGGGCTCGCGCGATTTCGACCTTGGCGCGCGCGGGTTTGGCGAGAGCGAGAAAATATTAAATTACAATAATAACAACCGGCGATTACCGTCGCCATCGTCATCGCGATGATTATTATAAAAAAATTTAAAAAAAAAACAATTGTGCCCCTCGCCCACTCGACAACTCGCAATAATATAAATTATGATAGTAATAATAATATCACATAGGTAAGTACCTACGTAAGACGTACATCGTCGTCGTCGTYGTTGTTGTTGTTGTTGTTGGCGTGCTGTTGTCGGGAAAATCTGTTTTTTTTGTTGTTGTAATTATACATTTTTTCCCTCTCGTCCGACTCGCGCGAAACTCGTAAAAACGTATAATTCAAAACCAGCTGCGTTTCATCGTCGGATGATATAAATTAGGCGCGCACATCATAGACGGTCGCGAATTCATCCGTGCCAAAACGCGTCTTAATAACAACCGGCAATTATTATTCGTGCGAAACCGGTTGTTATACAATTATTATTGACGTATATAATGTATTTTCAGTTTCTGACAAAGATTGCAATAATGATAATATAATTTTTGTTGTTTTCGTTCTGATGGTCGGGAAATTCCGTCGGTAGGAAGCGTCGGATGKAACCGAACGATGAAACAGAAACAAAAACACGAAATGATGATGGTGGTGGTGRTGATGATGATGATGATGATATCATGGTGTAGCTGGTATTATATAGTGTAGTACGATTCGCGGTCCGGTCTGGTCGGTTTATCTCGCACACACGTCATTGTAAACTCGTCAGCTACAACATTATTATTATTTTTTTTTTTCGTAATTATTAACCATGGTAGTATAGTTACTAGCTATTTCCATAGGTGTTATGAAATTGCCGTATATTTTGTTTCGCGTATATAAATTGTATTCTGGTATAACGACCGACACTTAATATTATAATATTATATATTATTATTTATTATTGTCATAACACACACAACTTCGTTTTACACGACGCTCACAACCATTGCTCAGCGTATTATAAACAGATTAAACGTCAGCCCGAAACGTATATATATATATTAATGCACATGTCTTGCCTTGATCACTGTCCGTTTTTCTTCAAAGATTCGTTTACGTCAGCAACACGCGRTAATCGTTTTATTTACGACTATGTATCCTAAAATTAATATGATGTACACACTATACACATAATATAATAACAATAATATTATGATTATATTATAACGTATAAACCATGACTATTGCCAATTATCATCTCGTGCATGCGTGCATCACAGATTCACAGATAGGTACCTACTGCTGCTGTATTAGGTATATCACCGTATATCCAATGCGCAGGGTTATTCATTGAGAATTTTCACCACCTTTTTTTTTAAAAAAAATGCGCATTTACATAAAATATGATTTCTAAAATTTTTAGTATACTTACTAATTAAAGAATGTGCCGTAGACACAAACTTATTTTTTTTAAACCACCCCTTTATTGGCTTTATTCTAATACACCTGCATTAGGTATTCACTGGTTATTTTCACCAAAAATTCGAACAAATAGTAGTTTTTGAGTTTATCGTTGTATACTAATGAATAATAGATCTATGATAATGGGTTTGGAAAATATGGGTCTATGGTATTTTAAGAATTTAAAAATATAAGCCAAACACCACTCACTCGTTCATTGCTACATCTTAAAAACTACAAAAAATATGAACTTGAATTTGGAATAATGGTGCYCCTCATGATCTAGATGKGCAAATAGAAATGATTTTTCAATATATTTTGCGTTCTAAAAGGTGTTCAACAGAGATTCAAATCTCAGGTATTATATTTAGAGATGCCAGTTAAGTTTAAAGAGTATAGGTAGTTTGAACCTAGTAAAAAATATATACCAATTGCTAAATCTAATTTACRACTTGCCCATCTAAGTCGAATTATTTCACAAATCTACGTACACTGACGCCGGTTTATACGTAAATTTAGGTACACTACATCTATGATATCTATCAAGTCACACTTAGATGAGTCAATAGGAGATGACTGAGATGAGCGTATAGGTCTGAAGTGTGATATGGAGTAGTATAAGTAATATTTAGGTATTTCATTTAGGATTTATTATTGAGTTGTTTCACATTGTGAGAAGTTAATGAATGTAAGTATATGATATTCATAAAATCTGTTATTGAATAATGGGTGTAAAGCAACATGGCACATGTCATAATGATACAGATTTTATAAAATAGTAAATTGACAAAAATGCCCAAAAATCTTGAAAAAATCAGAAACATTGATTCAACGGACTTCAATCTTGAAAATGGATATTAGTTAGTCATTGTTTMATAAAGAATGACCGAGGGTATTTTATTTTTTCAAATTCTTTGATAAAATATTGACACAATTTAAAAAATAAGAACTTTGGAATTTTTATAAAAAAATKTAATTATGATAAATTTCCAATACTATGCTTTATTAGAGTTTTTGAAGATTTTAAAATTAGTTTTCAAAATTAAAATCCCAAGTCTCACAGTTTTGTCTAGCCTTTGATCTCTTTTATGTGGTTATTTGTATATGCTCCAGCCCCCCTGATTGATCAATGTTTTTTTATTATTGATAAGCCCTGTAACTAATGGCCATTAGCTGTTTGTAAGGGTAAATGGTTGTTTTGGAGCACGTAATGAGTGGTTACTGGTCACCCATTCGGGTGCTAGCAACGTCGACCGATACGTACACTCAGAGAGTTTCCGCAGTTGAGCGTACGACCGGCCACTTATTAATATTTGTAAGTTATAAAAATGGTYAAAGAATAYAAATTATTAATATAAATGTAATATATTATATATGTTRGTAAAACCATTTTAAGGACTGTTATTCTTAATATAAACATTTTGATAACTGAAAAACTACTCGTTCAAATTTTACTTCGAAATGTYCAAAAAATTATTCTCTAWGTAATAGACTACGCAAAAAAGGGGTTCTCATTTGAAAAACAGAAGTTTTTATCTTACTACCCTGTAGTAAGTACAACGAATCTGAGGAATTTGAAAATAGGGACTTTTTAAGTACMTTAATTTATCTAAAAATTTCAAAAATCAGAATTTTCAAAAACCCGTATTATTAAATGAAATAATGGCGGTGATCATGTTTACTGAATCAYCCTGTGTATATGATCTTAAGGCCATTACTATAAGATAGGTCTTCAAACTACCGTCTTTTGCATAATAGCCTATCATAATATCTGCAAAACAATTTAATCTCGCATCTTAAAAAACGCAGATTACAACACATCATCACRATCGTGATTATTGCWGACGCCTTATATCCTAAATTTATAATACGYAGGTATTGGYATGCTGGTTTATGCAGTGCATTTATGCCTGCTGTTTGAGACAGTTTTTTTTACAGATGGAGTCGTATGAGCGTCCTCTTAACAATTATAATTAACGACTGACAAAATAAAATATGCCGAATAGTGTGTCGTGGATTTATAAATGTCTCTGATTGCCTTGYATTCTACGTCCGTTATTTTGCAGGACATATTTATTAATCTATTAAGACATACTCATATTTTAAGTCTGTGATGAAGCGTGTTACGTATTAATGTTTAAAAAGTCCTTACTCCACCATGTGCCAAATTCTTAATCATAATATGTGGCGGGACAATATGGTGACAACATAGAAAGTCAATAGTTCTATATTATAACTTACAGGCTGAGCAATTTTTATTAAACATTCTCGGGACTCGTATTAAAGATTATACGTAGTAAATTATAGTAATATTGATACAATAATAAATAATACAACAGTTGATCTAATAAATTATTATTATTATTATACCCACGTACGTCTTGTACAGTAGGACGCAGTTTATCAATCAAATTAAAATATTCAATAGTAACTAATTGGTAAAATCACGGTTTCGATAAATGTTTTGAAAA